TCCCAACTCACTTCTTCTTAGAAATTGACAAGCTGATTCTAAAATCCATATGGAATTGCACGGGACCTGAAATAGCCAAAACAAGTTTGAAAAGGAACAAACTAGAAGAACTCTCACTTCCTGAGTTCAAAATTTACTCCAAGTCAATAGCAATAAAAACATATTAGAATAGAATTGAAGAGTCCAGAAATAAACCCATACATGTATGGTCAAAGGATACTAATACTATTCAATGGGGTAAAGAATAGTCTTTTCTCTCCAAATATGGCTTATTTGTTGCTTTATAAGATAATTATTTCTGAATAAATTTCACGGCAGTCCTTGATTATATGTTCATTGGAGACCACTTAATAATATTATTGTTATTATTATTTGGAAGAACTTGACATAGAGCATTGCACATAGTAGGGGATTGATGAATATTTATGAAAGGAGGAAAATAATCAGGACAAAAGAAAAAGGAAGGGAAAGAAGGAGAAAAGAAGAAAAGAAAAGGTGACTTTTTTGCATGTCTCAAAAAATTTGAGCACTGTGAGAGATCTCCGGGATAATTCAATTTCCATATTTTATAAGGGACTGAAGAGTCCAAAGAGGTTAGATGAGGTATCCAAAATCACAATGCTTGCTAAGAACAAAGCTAGTAGCAAATTAGGCCTTCTGATCCCTCTCTCAGGGCCCCTCACACTGCACTGCGATGCTGGTTCACAGTAAAGCAATTCAACTGAGGGAGCCAGTGAAAATATATTTTTCCATGAGGCAGAAGATTGCTTTACTAATCCTTAAAATGAATGTTCAATCATGGATTCTAAAATAAAATGTGTAACTTAAAAATAATAGCTAATTGCCCTGGCCGGGTGGCTCACTAAGTTGAGCATTGTCCCCTGCACCAAAAGGTTGCAGGTTCGATCCCTGGTTGGGAGACAAATGATCCATGTTTCTTTCTTCTCCCTTCTTTCTTATTCTCTCTCTTCTCTCCTCTCTCTCTCTCTTCTCTTTCTCTCTCTCCTCTCCCCTCACCCCCCACTTCTTCTCTCTCTTAAATCAGTAAAACATATCCTTGGGTGAGGATTTATTGAAAAAGCTAATTGAATTTATGGTCCAGTTTATTCTATTTTGTTACTGTGTTTGAGCTAACCACTGAAAAACAAATAAGGAAACCCATGTCAGCTAATACCCACAGGTCTGGCTTTGTAGATCTGATGCAGCAGAATTTAGGTGTTAGACTAAAATCAGGGGACTATTCTAATTTTTTCCTTTGATTCATAAATTATTTTCAAATAAGGAGGGTCATGTATGAAATTATCCAGTGGGCCTCCCACATCACTGAAATTCTTTAAAAACAGGAATCTCTGGAGGTGAGTCCCAGCAACTTGTATCTTGACAGACCTTTCAGTTTATTGGGAAGTACCTAAAATTGTGAATCACTACCTTGGTTTACACCCGTCAACAATGTTCACCTAAATTAATGAAGTATTTCCTCCTGTCCCCTTGCTTCCCATTCTACCCCACAAATTTATCTACATGGTTGCCAGACAAAAAGTTGTAAACAAAATATGATGTGTTATTACCGTTTCATTCATTCATTCATCAATTATTTATTGAGAGTTCTAGTCCTTCCTGGTACAGCCGTGAATACAAAGGACAAATATTTCTATTCTATACTTAATACATAATGAGCCTTTACCAAGTAATAGGAATATCAACAAAAGCCAATAGGAGAATGGCATTGACATCGAATGCCTTCCCCCTAAAGTCCTCAGTGGTTTCCTGGTGTTTAGACTCCTTTGTATGGCGGACACAGCACTGAGTGGTCTGGGCTTCCTGTGAGGATTTGGTTCTCATCTTGCATCCCACAGTCCAACCACACCAAGCCTATTGGTTTCTTATTTACATTCCTTTTCAAGGTGACCCATCCTCCCCTGATGAGGGACCCTCTCCCCAACCTGTTCTGCTGCTTTTGGTAACACCTACATGTATTTTAAGATTCAAGAATCATGTGTCACCAAAATTCATGTGAGAAGAAGTAGATGCCTATTAAATAAATAGAATCAATAATTAAAAGCCTTCCAAAGCAGAAAGCACTAGGTCCTGATGGGTTTGCAACGTAGAGACTAAAAAAATATATAAAAGATCAATGAAACCAAGAGCTGGTTCTTTGAAAAGATAAGCAAGATTGATGAACCTTTAGCCAGACTCATGAAGAAACAAAGCGAGAGGATCCAAATAAACAAAATAAAAAAATGAAATGGGTGAAGTACAACTGATCCATGGAAATACAAAGGTCTGTAAGAAAATACCATTAACAACTATATTCCCACAAACTGGACAATGTGGATGAAATGGACAAATTCCTAGAAAAATACAATATTCCAAAACTGAATCAGGAAGAATCAGAAAACTTGAATAGGCCAATCACAACTGATGAAATTGAAGTAGTAATAAAAAAAACTCCCTGGTTAGATGGCTTCATACTGCCATCTTTTTTTTAAAAAAAAAAAAATATTTTTACTGATTTCAGAGAGGAAGGGAGAGAGATAAAGAGGTAGAAACAGCAATGATGAGAGAGAATCATTGATCGGCTGCCTCTTGCACACACAACACTGGGGATCAAGCCCACAATCTGGGCATGTTCCCCGACTGGAATCAAACTGTGACTTCCTGTTTCATAGGTCAATGCTCAACCACTGAGCCATAATGGCTGGGCCACTTCCAAGTTCCTTTTATGAGGCCAGCAGTATCCAATTTTCCAAAACTCGATAAAGACACTACAAAGAAAGAGAATTATAAGCCAACATCCCTGATGAACATATGCTAAAATCATCAACATATTAGCAAATCAGATCCAACAATACATTAAAAAGATCATACGCCACGACCAAGTGGGATTTATTCCAGGGATGCAAGGCTGGTACAATATTCACAAATCAATAAATGTGATACATTACATAAACAAATTGGCAGACAAAAATCACATGATCATATCAATTAATGCAGAAAAAGTATTCGACAAAATCCAACACCCTTTTTTGATACAACTCTCAGCAACGTGGGAATAGAGAGATCATACCTGAACATAATAAAGGCCCTATATGACAAACCTACAGCCAACATCATACTCAATGGGCAAAAATGAAAACCATGTTCCCTAAGAACAGGAACAAGACAGGGTTGTCTGCTTTCACCACTCTTATTCAATATAGTACTGGAAATCCTAGCCACAGCGATCAGACAAGAAGAAGAAAAAAAAGGCAGCCAAATTGGAAGGGAGGAAGTAAAACTCTCATTATTCGCAGATGACATGATATTGCAAAGTAGAAAACTCTAAACACTCCACCAAAAAATGCCTAGATTTAATAAATGTATTTGGCAATGTAGCAGGATACAAAATTAACACACAGATATTGATGACATACCAATAATGAACTCTCAGATAGAGAAACTGAAAAACAATCCCATTTACCATTGCAACAAAAAAGTTAAGGTACAGTGGGGCCTTGACTTACAAGTGTCCCGACTAACGAGTTTTTTGAGATACCAGCTGTCTCTCCTCCGATTTTTTGCGAGTTGATAGAGTAATTTGAGTTAACGAGCTCCTTAACGAGCTCGGTCTCGGAACGAATTAAACTTGTAAGTCAAGGCCCCACTGTATTTAGGAATAAATTTAACCAAGGAGGTAAAAGACTTATACTTAGAAAACTACAGGATGTTGAAAGGGAGACAGAGGAACAAGTAGAGAATATACCGTGTTTCTGGATTAGTAGAATCAACATCATGAAAATGTCCATACTACCCAAAGCTCCACATGGTCTTTCTACAAAATCCAGTAATTGCTCTCCTGGCTATTTAACCAAATGATTTGAAAACTCACTTTGTATGTCTGTACAAAGCACTAAACATGAATGTCTATAGAAGGTTTATTCATAAGAGCCAAAAATTGGGAGCAAACAAGATTAAGTCCTAGCAGTGAATAGAAAAACAAACGGAGGTGCATCCATTCAATGGAATTTTATTCGACAATAAAATGGATGAGGCATCAAGCCACAATAAACCATGGGGAACCTTAACTACATATTGCTAATGAAAGGATCCAGTCTAAAACAGCTACACAGGGCATGACTCCAACTACAGGACATTCCAGAAAGGCAAAATTACAGAGACCACAAGCAGCTCAGGGGTTGCCTTAGGTTCAAGAGAAGGGCATGAGGGACGAGGCAGCGGGGCACAGGGGATGTCAGGGGCAGTGAAACCATCCCTATAACACTGTAGTGGTGGACACACGACATTTTGCATGTACAACACAAGGAGAAAAACCTAAGGTCAATTATCAGCTTTAATGAATAATAATGCATCAAGATCAGTTCAATCAATCGTAACAAATGTACCACACAAATACGAGATGTAAATAATGGGGAAACTTGTGCAGAGGGACAATGGGCATCTGGGAATTCTTTACTTCCTGCTCATCTTTCCTGTAAACTCATAACTGTTCTAAAATGAAATCTATTATAAAAAATTGTCCATAGTAAATAGAAAAATTTACTCATAGAAAATTATATAAAATACATACTATACTGGTAGATATGTTCACATATTCAGATAAAAATAAAATAGCTATGTACATCTTTCCATGATACCTTTTCAATGTTATGTTCTATTATTTTCCCTCTCCTGATATAATGGTTCCACAGAGACTGGCTGTTAATGGGAGGTGAGGAAATGCAGACAGTGATGTTACATTATGCTCATGAGAAATTTGATGGTGAAGGGCAGTAGGGCTGACGTGGGCAGTTGTGGGAGTCTGAAGGTCTAGAAAAGAATTATTTTTAAAGGATGCAATGATTGCCAGCTATGAAAATATATAATTAGTAGCTCACTGAATTTAATTCCTTAGTTATTTCACTTTCAATAATTATAAATGGATACTTGACTATATAAAACTGCATAGCGACAGTATCTATCACATTTTCCCAACGAGTTAAAATGTGAGTAGAAGCACATACCAGGTCATTGAGGCTGACCATGATGACATGCTGGTACTCTTCGCCACTTTTACCTTCGATCTCACAATCAGATGACGCGACTGGCAACAGAACGAGGATCAGGGGAGGAATTCCAAAGATATACCTGAAAGAAACTGAAGACAACAGTACATAAGAACGAGCTAGTAAATGTTATGTCACGTGATCTGATTTGATGGTGGCCTTTCAATGAGCCTGGCCACATATTTCTAATCCTTGTAAACATGCATCTCTGGTTTTGGATAGAGTGGGAGGAACTCTGAAACTCAATACCAAGTAACAACCAAAGCAGGACAGACTTCCAGTGTCTGAGTTTCTTTCCTGTTTTAACTGAGGAATTACTGTTTGGGAAAGTGCAGAGCAGTGGTGGGTGCCAGCAGGGTCTCTTTGCTTCTGGAAAACACTCCAGGGTATGAATTCAGTTTATCCAATTTCAACTTATGTTGAACATCCCCACAGGGAAAGGCATCTACAGGTGAACAGGTAATCTAAGGACAGGTGAAAAAGTTACACATTTTTGACATTTTATGATCTATGGCATGTGATTGTGTATGGAAACCCGATGGTTGTCCAAGCGTCCAGCAGCTTCCTGAGGTGGCGTCGCAGGTTGATCCCACGCTATGACTCTGTGATTATATTTTTGCTTTTTAGTGAAGGTTTACTCTTCCCAGAACTGTGGCAACACTGACATTATATTTCAAGACTCCTTATCTTTTCAGTAGCTTCTGTTTCTAAGTACCCTGAGCCCCTATTCTCTTCAAACACTGATCTGTTTAGCTTCTTGATATGTTAGAAAAGCCCAATAAATAAGTTCACACCCTGTTAACTAATGATTTCTATCTGTTTTTTTATAAGCCTTCCTAATTGGGGGCAATTAGCTAATAAAAAAGAATCTATATTAATAAAATATGCTAATTAGACTGGACATCCTTCCAGACAGCCTTCTGGATGAAGTCGGGGCTGTGAGGGAAGCCAGTATCGGCAGCTGGGGGGTGGAAAGCCTACTCTTGCATGAATTTCGTGCACCAGGCCTCTAGTTATCTAATAAAAAAGAATGAAATTATAAATGAATCATTTGGGGCAATAGTAATAGACTGAACAGAAAGCTTGTGGCTCCCTGAGGCATAAAAATTTGCTTATATAGGGACTTAATTCTTCATATGCCTGTCAGAGTATCTCCTCTGCATTTTTCTGGAAACTCTTGGGTTATGTTGACAACATCTTTCCTGTGAATTTCCCAAATGAACTTCCACTGCACTTGCTGAGTGAAAGACATTTCACATGTGTGCCTTCTCTGATTAAGATGACAAATAATATCATCCCTAAGAACACAAGGTAGTGATATCGTGACAAAGACCTAAAGATGGTTAAATATATCACAAAAGTTTCCAATAACATTGTCCTCCATGCTATCATTGTCCATCATATAAGAATCAGTAGCACTCCCCAGTAAATTATGTGCTATTAATGACCCATATTTTACACATAGAGGCAGTAGGCTGGGCAGCAGATCTGGGAACAAACATGAATCCTCCATGAATCTCATCCTCTTATGTCACTGACTCTTGACAAGGCAAGAGAAACAAAATGAGACATGGCTTCCATTCATTGCTCTGCAAGAAATATCTATATACATGACAAGCAATAATTCACTTAGGAGGTGAATAATAAAGATGACACCAGTTACCTTTCACTGAATACCTACCATGTGCCAAGCATTAAGTGTCAGATACATACTAGTTCCAAAGACCAAAAGAGTTCTGCAAGTTCATCTTTTTCTGAAATGTAGGTAGTAATTGCCAGGTCTGGATTTTAACCTGGCCTTGCTGCCTCACCAGGATTTGATCAGAAATGGCCACGATATTTTGATAACATGCAAGCACACTGATCCGAATGCAAACCACTTCCAGGTAAGCTCTGCAGCTTTCTTCTACTCCTGCTCCTTCATGCCGAAGGTTCTCAAGCATGACCAACTAATGATTGTCAGGTCCTAGCTTTGTAATCAGATGTATATGCATAGTAGAGAGATGACCTTTTCTCTGTCACCTTGCAGATGCCCACGTGCTGCACGCTGGGAGGAGTAGATGATAAAGGGAAAGTTATAGAGCACAGAACTTGAAATGACCTTTAAGGGAGATAAATGCAATAAAGTATGAAGTACCAGCATGAAAAGAGGCATTTTTACCACTATACATACATGCTATTTCAAAGGAGGTTGTTTTATATTCTACATAGAACACCAGCTGTTGTGTCCCCAACTTTCAGTAATTGGTGCTTCCCAATTCCCATCGGCCTATTTATTCATTGAAAGGCATCTGATCAATGCTTTCGAATACGACCTGGTGGAAAATTCAGTCTTCTTTTGTGTATCACAACTAATTTCAAAATTTAAAACATAATTTGACTTATCAGTAAAGAGTGTCTTTTGTTGCCACTGTTGTTAAATAATTTAGCCCCAGACAGACGAGGACAAAGCAGAGTGTGGGGGTTTGCAGAGTGGAGATGGGGGTTTTGTCTTGGTGTGATGTTGAGTTGTTGCCTGAATGAACCACAGAACATCTTTTAAGCGTCACTCCCCTGATTTGTAAAATGAAAACTTTAGACTAAATGGTCCCTCCATGTCCCTTCCAGTTCTCAAGCACCCGAAATTCTCATACTCTCCCTGGCCATTGAAATGCAGTAACTCTTTAGATCTGAAATCGCCTCCTGGACAATGCTGCAAACACAGCCGGGCCTTCGGACCCACAGCTCCTCATGACTTGCACTTTGGTCTGGACTTGAAGTCTTTTCTCCACACCATGGAGATAGTAATATGAATGTTGCCTAGTTTGAGCTTGCTTTTAACACCGTCCCAGTAGGAAAAGAACTCTTATTTTGTTTCAGAATATACAGATACCCACACTTCCCCCAATCTTGCCATTTTCATTAGGTTACAGAAAAGATAAACCGTGAGGAATAATGCAAGGCGAGCTGGGGCTTGTGGAATTTTCTTTAGATCTCCTGAAGGGATTGAAACTGGAGAATTTGTTTTCAGTGGGGAATCTGGTTAAACCAAAATGATGGCTGTCTAAAAAATTCTTGATGGTTTTAATGTAAGCCAAATAATACATTCAATCCTCAGCTACTTAAGTTATGGGGTCAAAGTGAACATAAATAAATTAGTTCCTACACTCCATCCAATTCAATTTTTCATCAGCCTTTAAGACCAATGAATGTTAATTGACTGTCCATTATGGACATTGCATAGACCTGCTTTCACTGGGAATTTGAAAAAAAATGGTCCAAAGACATTCCGGTTGGACTGGAAGACATGAGTGTATATGACTTTACTAGTAATCTGATCAATTGGCACAAGCAAATGGGTGAATAAAGAGTAGAAAACAGCCATACATTGTATGGAAATCAGCTTTTAAGGTTACAAAAATGAATTTGATGAGGCTCACATAAAGAAATCTAATAACTGCTATAAGTATATTCAGACTGGAATGTAAATTCTATCCACAAATCCCATGATAAATATTTAGACATTTCTGAGGTCAACCTATGACATTGTATATCATATTTTACAACCATTTCATGAGGCACGTATTATATACTAATACTAGAGGCCCGGTGCACAAAAATTTGTGCACTCGGGGTGGGGTGGGGCTCAGCCTGGCCTGTGCCCTCTTGCAGTCTGGGACCCCTCGGGGGATGACCACCTGCTGGCTTAGGCCCGCTACCCGGGGGATCAGGCCTAAGCTGGGAGTCAGACATCCCTCTGGCAGCCTGGGAGCTCTCGGGGGATGTCCACTTGCCAGTGGGGAACAGGCCTAAGCTGCAGTCGGACATCCTTAGCGCTGCTGAGGAGGCGAGAGAGGCTCCCACCACCACCACTGTACTGGAAGCCGTCAGCCTGGCTTGTGGCTGAGCAGAGCTCCCCCTGTGGGAGCACACTGACCACCAGGGGGCAGCTCCTGCATTGAGCCTCTGCCCCCTGGTGGTCAGTGTGTGTCATAGTGACCAATCATTCCCAGTCGTTCTGCTGTTAAGGTCAATTTGCATATTACCCTTTTATTGTATAGGATAGAGGCCTGGTGCACGGGTGGGGGCTGGCTGGTTTGCCCTGAAAGGTGTCCTGGATCAGGGTGGGGGTCCCGCTGGAGTGCCTGGCCAGCCTGGGTGAGGGGCTGATGGCTGTTTGCAGCTGGTCACACCCCCTTCAGGGTGGGGGACCCCCCTGGCATGCCTGGCCAGCCTGGGTGAGGGGCTGATGGCTGTTTGCAGGCTGGTCAAGCCCCCCCCCCAGTGGGGACCCTCACCCCATGGAGGTTTGGCCAGCCTGGGTGAGGGGCTGATGGCTGTTTGCAGGCTGGCCACACCCCCTTCAGGGTAGGGGTCCCCACTGGGGTGCCTGGCCAGTCTGGGTGAAGGGCTGAGGGCCATTTTCAGGCTGGCCAAGCCACCCCGCCCCCCACCCGGCGACGGAAGCTCCCAGCCTCTCCTTTTTTTCTTTTTCCTTTTTTTAATTCTGGGATTTATTTACCTTCTATAATTGAAACTTTGTAGCCTTGAGAGGAGCTCAGAGCCGGCCAGGGTGGGCAGGAGGGAAGCTTGGCTTCCTCCATCACGAGGGGCAACCCAAGCCTCCTGCTTGCTCCAGCTCCGTGGCCATGGCAGGCTGAAAGCAGGTATCTGGGGTTTATTTACCTTCTATAATTGAAACTTTGTTGCTTTGAGTGGAGCTCAGAGCCAGCCGTGGCAGGCGGGAAGCTTGGCTTCCTCCATCATTGGGGCAACCAAGCCTCCTGCTTGCTCCAGCTTTGTGGCTGCCGGCCACCATCTTGGTTGGGTCAATTTGCATATAGTCGCTCTGACTGGCTGGTGGGCATGACTTAAGGTGTAGCAAAGGTATGGTCAATTTGCATGTTTGTCATTTATTAGTGTAGACTAGAGGCCTGGTGCATGAAATTCATACACTGGGGTGGGGGAGATGTTCCCTCAGCCCAGATTATGAGAGGGTGAAGGCTAGGCCGAGGGACCCCACTGGTGCACAATCGGGGCTGGGGAGAGACATGGGATGTTGGCCAGCCAGGGAGAGGCCGCAGGAGGGCTCCAGCATCTGTCTGGCCTGTCTCACTCAGACCTGATCAGCCAGACCCCAGCAGCAAGCTAACCTACCGGTTGGAGTGTCTGCCCCCTGGTGGTCAGTGCATGTCATTGTGAGCAGTTGAGCGGCCTTAGCATATCATTACCATATTACACTTTGATTGGTTGAATGGCTGCCCGGATGACTGGACAATTAGCATATTAGGCTTTTATTATATAGGATATCAATTATAATATTTTTGCAAATGAAGAATCTGGAGCCCAAAGAAACTTTTTTGCCCCATACATAATGTGTCTGGTAAGAAGCAAGTTTCAAAGCCAGGTTTGTCAGGTTGAAGAGTCTAGAAACTCAGCTTCTAGCCAGCAAGCTAACCTGCTTCCTAGAAAAACTGTGGTGTGCAGTCAACGGGAATGTGCAACACCCCACCTTGCTCCTCCTGGACTCGCTAAGGTACTTCCTGGCCAAGCTCTGCCGCATCATCCTCTCATCTCAGGAAGAAGGACACTGCTTACTTGCTGTTAGCACACCAGGGTATGTGTCAGTGGTGAAACCAGGAAAAAAATCTCACATGTGAATAAGACATGTAAGTTAGTCCTACAAAATGTCCTTTTCCATGTTTGTTTAGGACATTTCAACATTGATCTGGTGCTTGTTCAGGTTTCCTAGCCTTTCTCAGGTTGCTGTTTTTCTTACTATTCCAATTTTTCGGTCCTCAGGTAGCACAGTTGAGGACCACATAGAAGGTCCTCAATAACGTCCACTCTCCAAAGAAGCAGCAAAGAAAAGGTTAAAGGGTAACCCTGTTCTGAAGCTTCTAGTGAAATCTACTGGAAAATGTGCAGAAAGCCACTTGTAGTCATTATTCAAAGTTTAGAGTTCCAGCATTGCTTGCTGATGGCAATTTATGGTACAAGATCCTTATAGATACGTTTCAGGAAATAAAGGCTCCCTGTTCATGATGGACACCCTGGCTTCCTTTCCTCGCTTTAGCTCTCACTTCAGGTCACAGGTGATGCAAGGAGTAGATAGAACCAGGAGGGATCCAGACAGAGAAATTGCAGGAGACCCGTGGGCAGTGTAAGGAAAACAGGGATAGACCTATTTAAAAAATATATATATATATATAAATAGTTCTTTTTTAAAAATTGTTTTGAGAGAGAGAGAGAGAGAGAGAGAGAGAGAGAGAGAGAGAGAGAGAGAGAGTCATTGGTTGCCTCCTGAACACACCTTGACCAAGTATCAAACCCACCACCTGTGTACGTGCCCTCAACAGGAATTGAACCCCGACCCTTTGATGCTCTGGACAATGCTCCAACCAACTGAGCCAAACCGGCCAGGGAGGCAGTGTATAACCTAATTTCTATTTCCCCACGAACTTCGGGAGGACGCCCATCATAAATCTCCTCCACAGTTGTCTTCTATACTGTGACCCCTGCCCCTTTATTTTGTCACTGATCTGGTAATTCTGGGCGATGTCAGTTCTTGATTCTTTAATACCTATGAGAGGGGAAAGGGCTCTTTTGATACCTTGGTGGAGCCAGGAAAGTGCACAAACCAGGCATCAAACGGACCAGCAAGCTGCTCCCTATTCCCCGCCCTCCCCCACCCGGATCCTTTTACTCAGACAGTATCCCAATTCCCCTCCGCAGATCCACTCCCCTCGCGTCTCTTTGCCCCATTTCTCCTTCCAGCAAACTTCGGGGTTCTTTACATTGGCCGCATGACTGCCAACGGAGCCCAGCTCCCCCGCTCTGCCTTTGCCCATTTGAAGTCCGCATTTGGCACAAATAAAATAGATTCGATCTCAGCAAGAGCCTATAATTTAGAATTTTGCCCATTTAATCCTGTCGCCACCAAGGAGCCCCTAAATAGCAAGAAATAGAAACCCCAAACTGGCCGCTCCCAGGGCCAGCAGGAGGACGTGGTTCCCGGCAAAAGGCGCAAGGTACAGCCCCAGTCGGAAACTCCCAGCCTCTCCGAGGGAGGAAAACGGGGCTTTCCAGAGACCTGTCCCCCAGGGTTTAAAAGCGCGCCCCGTGGGAACCGCGCTTTCACTTCTCCAGGGAGCTGGGAGCCGCAGGAGCTCAGCGCTCCCGGACGCCGGCGCCGTGAGTAGCCGTCGGGCGCGCCCCGAGCGCGGCCGGGGCAGCTGGGCGAGGGGCCCGAGGGCAGCGTGGCTGGGGACCGACCTGGGGACCGACGTAGCCCCGGCTCCCTCCGAGACCCGCGGCCGGCTTCGCCGGATGGACGGCGCGGAGGCGGCGCCGGGTCCGGGACGGCTCTCGCCGCCTGCCGAGCGCGGCTGCCCCAGGTGCCGGTGGCTCGGGGCCAGGGACGCCGGCGCGGCTGCCGCTGCCTGCGGGAGAGCCGGTACTCCCGGCGGGTCCAAAGTGCAAGGCCCAGCTGTTCCCGGACGCCCCGGGGCGCGGGGCCCGGTAGCGCGCCCCAGGCCCCCGCGTGCGTGCAGGGCGCGCGGACTGGTGCGCGGGAGCGGAGCGCTTACCATGGAACATGGTCTGCGGGAGGCGGGCGTGGTCATGATGACCGCAGCTGCAGCTCGAGGGGGCTCTCGCAGGCCATGGTCACTGCCAGGACCCCGGTGTGCGCGGCGGTGGCGGGAGTCGGACCGGGTGGCCGTCTCTGCGGCTGGTTCGTCTGCCCCACGCCGCGCCCGCTGCTTCATCCATCCCAGGGGGCGCGGCACACGCCGCGGCGGTCTGGGCTCTGCCTTTCCTAGAACTTCCGTAGGATTCGCCGCAGTGTACTTTCAGTTTCTACTTCGCGCTGGGTCTGCAGGTTCGAGCTTGGGGTTCCTCGCCCGGCGCCTCCAGCGCCCCCCTCCCCCGCGCACCTGCGTCCTCCCCTGGCGCTTCCTGTGCACCTGGGTGACCGCGGCCGGAGGAGGGCGCCGCGGGAGGACCGAGGGGGCCTTCGGAGGCAGAGCGGTTCCCGGCGAGACACTTCCCAGATGACCTCTCACCGCCTTGGCAGCGTCAGGCCACCGCGACCGAGGCCACTGGGCGCGCAAAGCATAGGTTGCCACTGCGTCCGCGGAAGCGACACAGGTGTAGGGTGAAAGCCGGGCGAGTGCGAGCGGAGCGCGGAGCGGGCGTCGCAGCGCCTGACGTGGGTGTGGTGGACAATGCCAATGTCTTGTGAAACTTTATATGCTGATGAGCTGTGATTAGAGAAATGATTGCCATTCCGTTTACTCATAGCCCCAATGAGTTGTGCAGAAATGCTAACAGTACACCAAGTTCATGAAAAAAGGAACCGAACCGGGGAGGGTGGAGAGGGTCATGCCCTCACTCAGTCCCTGGAATCGCTCTCATCAGCCCCTTTCCGCTGTCTGTGTGCATGCACCTGCCCAGGTGATACCTCACGGAAAGGAATCCCGTGCGTCCACCTACGCTGGGAAGCGGTATCTTTGTGGACGTGGGAAATCAGAGCCCAACTTAGGCGGAGGAAGTGGAGTCCATCATAGTTAAATCACCGTGACTTCACGTTTATCTGAATTGGCTAAGAAATCACACTTTCCCTTTGGACCGTTTGTTACTGAGGAGTTAATGTTTTATTCCCAGGCCTGAACTATTTAGATATGTTCTGCTTTAGTTTGGTTTCTGATGTTTTGCAGAAACCCTGCTTAAGTGAAGGTGGGTAGTGTAATGGTTGTAATAACGCTGATCATAAGGGCTGTTATGTGCCTGTCATTGGCTCTGTGCTAGTATTAGGCACATGTGGTCTCATGCAACATCTTCTATGAGGGGGTTGTCTTACCTGCCCTTCACAGATGTGGGAATTTGAGTAACTTGGCAGAGCTCACTTAGCTAGTTGGTAACAGAACTTGGACACAAGCCTGCCCGGTTCTGGCTCCAGAGTCCATGCGTGGAACTCTGTGTTAGAAGTTCTTACAAAAAAAGTAGAAACTGATACCAGCAGGGGACAGGGCCATGCGTCCTGTGGGTGTGCCTTTGCCCCAGCCTGCCGACCTCTGGAGGTTGTGAATTCTGAGCAGTTCACCTGGGGCTAGGAGCATTCCAGTCTGTACGGTGTGAGGGAGAAGGGGGAGGAGGGAGAGAATAACAATGAAAGAGTGAGAAGGGTTGTTCAAGCCTGAAACTTGGATCCCTCATTCCTTTTAGTCTCACGTCCTGCATCCAATCCAGAGGCAAGTCCAGTCAGCTCTGCTTCTGGAACAAACCCAAATCCAACCTGTGTGCCCGTGGGGACACCATGAAGACCCTGCAGTCCGGGATGGTCCCTCCCCTCACAGAGGCAGGGTACCTGATTTACACTCGCCACCCTCTGGGACGGTCCTCTGGCCCTTTGCGTTGTCCCAGGCCTAAGGTGCTGGGTGACCTGGGCTCTGCTGCCCCCCTCTGTCCGTGGCTCCAGCCACACTGGCCTGTTTCTCTCCTGTCCCAGCCAAACTCCCTCCCACTGGGAACAGTATCTAGCACTCAGACAGCACTGCCCAGGGACAGAGTGAGAGACAACCGTGGAGTGAGAAAATGTGAATGAAAACATGGGTGAAAGAGAAAGGATGTGAGGGCAGACAGACAGGAGGGGGCCAATGAGAACAGGAGAGGGAATGGGCGGGCAAAGCTGAGTGTTGCCATGTGACTGGAACCTAGAGTGAGGTGAGCAGTGGAGACTGAATCCTAAATGGGAATTCTGTGCCCAAGCACACTAGGGTGGTTATTTATTTACTTAAAATCCCTGACAGTGGCATTGAGGCACTTTTTTGTTTTACTTTTCAGGGATAAATAAAAGATCATCTATCAATAACTTCCTCAGGAAGAAATCCACCTTCCTTTCTTTTGCACAATCACCACAAAACCTGGCATAATAAGGGCTTGTCATCAGTGAACTTTGAGGAAGCATGAGGTGAAATTATTCAGAGCTCCAGGAGAGATGTAAATTCCTCACTCTCTTCAGAACATATTCATAAAGGATTTGGAATTTTTGTTGTTGCATGAGAGTGGGCACATTCTCACCACAAGTTATTATGCATGAGAGGTGAAAGAGTCTATCTATAATAACAAAAAAAGGTAATATGCTAATTAGACAGACAAAGCCTCCATGGGCAGGGGCTGATCCCCTTGCACGAATTTCATGCATTGGGCCTCTAGTTTATGTATTAATTGATAAAATTGGGTTCTTGTGTAGAAGTAGGAAAGGATGGAACCAAGAAACCCAAGATCTCTGATCTATTTTTTCTTATGATTCCTTCAATTCCCTGTCTATTAGAGAATTAATACCATTTGTAAAAAATTCCAAAAGGAAATCTTAAATGAATGGCTGATATTTTGATAAACTGAACATTATTTTTCATAAGACAAGGATAAAATATCTTGTGAAATTTTATATGCTGATGTTTTGTGATTAGAGAAATGATTGCTGTTCCATTTACTTGTAGCCCCAATGAGTTGTGCAGAAAAGCCAACAGTCCTCCAAGTTCATGAATTATTATAACCATAAATGCTAAGAAAGAAGACAACATTCTCAGAATGATTAGTACAATGTCATAGAAAAAATGTAAATAAGATATGAAAGTCAACTTAAAGAGATAGTTGTTGAAGGTTAATCAATGTCTTTTTAAGTATCGTACAGTCTTCCATCAAAATAGTCAATTATTGGTAACCGGAAAATGTTTTCTTATTTAATTATCTGAACTGTTTTTACCACCTCTCATTGCTCTCGATAGTCTGAGATCTGAATGCTAGCTGTTGGTCTGTCTGTGGATATTTTCTGAAGTTTCTATGACTTAATTTTCCAGGCATACTATTTAACATATTCAAACACACACACCCACCCACACACACACACACACACACCCCACACACATCCGACTTTTTTATGGGCGTGTGTTCTGTGTAGTGGCCTAGAGACCCATGTAGTGCTTAGAAGGGCTCCCTGCTTGTTCAGTGCTCTGCTGTCTTGAAACTCTTAATTGTTTTTGGACAAGGGCTCTCATTTTCACTTTGCACTGGGCCCCGCAAATCCTGTAACTACGTGCGTACAAACACATGGGAAGCTACACATTGTAGATAACAATGCATATCTTCAAGGTGGCTTCAGTCCGGTGGGGAGGTCAGAAGTTAGAAGTGTAATTTCAAAGATAAAAGAATGTTATAAAAAGGAAAGAACAAGATGTACTTCAAACCAGGGATTTTAAGGCAATCTAGACAGACTCACTTGAAAAATTAGTGAAACTAGGGTCCAGAAAAGATTCATTTACTTGGTTAGTGGGAAAATGGCTATAATGAATAACCTTCCATTTAAATCAGATTTACTTGTTTTTCAAGCCTGACCATGAGGATAAATTTTATCAAATGACCAATGAGCATGTTTACATGGTTGTGTTTTTTCCTTGTTGCATTTCTAAATAGCCCACAAATTTACCATAATGCTAAATTCTAGTTGCTAATATTTAACATAGAATTTTTCAATTACATTCATAATTGGTATATGTTTGTTTTTCATATTATATTTAACTGAGTTTGGACTATTTTTGTCAGATCCTTTTAGCTTTATAAAGGGATGCGGGAATTCCCTTGTTTTTTGTTTTGTTTTTTGTTTAAAGAAACTGTAACTGCTTAAGCATTTTATAAACTATTTCTGGGTAGTTGATTAGAGGTCAACAATAAAACATGCCTCATTTAATAGGAGAAAGCCCAGGGATAGGAGGAGAATGCCAGTTTCTAACATTGTAAGAGTGAAAATAAAAAGGATTCCTTCGAAGGCTGAATCAAAATGGCCTCATCAGATATTGGGAACCCTGCTAGAAATGTGCGTGTCAGCAGACTGATGGTTGTTTGAGTCACAAATATGAAATTACCCAGCCTGCAATTAAGAAGAGGGAAGAGAACGAGAGCTAATGCTGGGAGGAAACTTGAGGCATGACATGTCAAAAATTACATGTCAAAATAGTCTATTAGTATCCTATATAATAAAAGGCTAATATGCAAATCGATCAAACAGCAGAACAACTGGTTGCTATGATGCGCAATGACCACCAGGGGGCAGACAGTCAATGTAGGGGGTGCCCCCTGGTAGTCAGTGCGCTCTCACAGGCAGAGCACCACACAGCCAGAAGCCAGGCTCAAGGCTGGAGAGTGCAGTGGCGGTGGCAGGAGCCTCTCCTATCTCCACAGCAGTGCTAAGGATGTCTGACTGACACCATCAGTCGGACATCCCCCGAGGGCTCCTGGACTGTGAGAGGGTGCAGGCTGGGCTGAGGGACGCCCTCCCCTCTCCCCCCGAGTGCACGAATTTTATGTACTGGGCCTCTAGTAGTATTATAAAATTAAAATACAAAATATTTTAATATCACTATTCACTCATTCTCTATAATAGAAGTGTCAGAGATGAAAGTTAGTAAAATGTATATGAAAATAATATGTAAATTGATTAATAAATAAACAATAACATGATATAAAACAACAAAGAATGACATAAAAATAACAAAAACATGATATAAAAACAACATTGATAAAAACAGTGATTGATAAATTGATTAAGCTTACTCTATATCAACCTGTACACCACGTTAAGAGTAAAAACACTTTCAGAGTGCTTGGCTAATTTTCCTTGTGATGAAGTATTTACAACTTTAACTTTAACGTCACATGTTCTTCCAACTTGAGAGAAAGCAACATATAACTGACCATTTCCAAAAGCGGGTTTCTCTTCTGTCGACAATGCCGCTTTCTTTTAGCTTCAGAAGTACATTGTGCCAATAGTTGGTCTTCAGATACATTCTGGCATCACATGTGGTTGGCACCAGCGAGAGCTTTATTATGTATGGCACATGCGCGAGGCAACATTTACTTTTAAATTGCCAGTGCATGTCATATGTACCATGTATTGGCCAGTTGGTCGGATGGTTGGACAGACCGACGGTTAGTTACTTAGCCTTTTATACATATAGATTGATAAAATTAGGTTCTTCTGAAGAAGTAGGACAGTATAGAACCAAAATCCCAAGGTACTGGATTTATTTTTTTCCTATAATTCCTTCATTTCTCTCTCTTCTTTCATTTCAGTTCTTAAATTCTGTAATTCTAAATAATCAGAACCCCCTATAAATCTGGTGCCTAATTTTATATTCCTTATTAAAATGTTCCCCATGACACTCTCTTGTCTACTTCTGGATTCAGTATTGGCTAGTTGAAGAGAAAAATATTTCTCAAATTGCCCTCGGAGGAAGCAAATGTAGCTTATGTAGTTTGAATTATCCAAACTTTTTGTACACCAGTGGATATATTGTTTGCAATCAAAAACATGTTTTATATACTAAATTTTGGAGGCTTTTAACCACTGCCTTTATAGATGTCTAATTAGAGACAATTACGCCTGTGACAGTTTTCTTCATGCAAATTGTTTGAAGAGCGTAAAAAAATATATATATTGCCCTTTATTGCCTTCAAGGGCCTGGACAGAATCCCTGAATATCATCCACTTACTATGTGGAGATGTTCTGTTGTTCTTATAAGCTCTTGGACAACAATGGCAGTGTCTTATGCAACCTGGAGTTCTCTGAAGTCAACAAAACCCCATTCCAGATACAGATTCTCCCCAAGGGTGACTCGTGGAAAAGGGGAAATCAGAAAACAGGTCTTGACTGGTTTTCAAAGAGAACCGGTTCTTGGGGCAAACCTGTGATAGCATCCAGGAATGTTCTAACACCAACTACTGCTTTACCGGGTGTGCCTGAGGGTCTGGTGAGGGTGTCAAAACTCTCCTACCTAACAGATTTAAACCTCTTCTATTATGGACGGCTGTGTGACCTACTAAACCTTTTTGTTACTATATTAGGTAATTAATCAAATCAGCCTCTCCTCCAGGCAAACTAGGGTTGTCCCACACATTGTCATTGCCTTGGACTGTGGTTGGAGGCTCAGAGTATCCATTAACTCGTACATGACGTGGGATGATTAAGTGTATTGTCACAGTAATGAAGTCAACAAGCAGTTTTCTGAAAAGATTATGTACTTCCCTGAGCTCCTAGGGTATCAGTCATTGCTCTGTGCCAATCCCATGTCAACCCGCATCCTACAAGCCTGAAACGACCATTAATGTGCTTGCCTAAAATGTTAAAATGTTAGTGGCAGTGACAAATACACCTCAATGAGAAGACCACAAAAATGAAGTTTTCAAGAGATTAAAACACTGAGATATCAACTTTGGTGTATCGATGATTTCTTCAAACAACGGAATTAAGCAAAATGTTTTTTAAGTGACATGCCCTGTGAAATGGCAGCTCGATACTTTGATTTCCTTGTTTCTTTCATTATGTTGGCAATTTTTCCTAATGCGTAACTAACAAGTTTTCTAATCATGTTTTCTTTTTCATCTCCTGGCACACATAAACTGATCGCTAAAATTCTGTGGCACACTGAAAAATATATGTTTTGCCAATCTGACCAAAATAATGGGTATGATTTTGATTCTTTCACGTCGATAACTATTCTTGTGTTGGCTGTTGTTATTTTTTAAATTTGCCAATCGAAGAGAAAAGAGGGCAGTGCCCCTGGCTAAATAGTCAGGTATTACATGTTTTAGAAATTCTTGTGGCCACCAGTTTAATGTCCCTGGTCCTAGGTAAGACATTGTTTTGACCTGTGAAATGTAATATTTTCTATTTTTTTGTCATTTCTCTCCTGTCAAATTAAGATTCTGTATCATTTCCATTTTCTGAGACCTCTGAACTTTTATTCAGGTTTTAAAAATTAGGCTCCTTTGATTCTAACTTCAAAATAACCCACTTTATAACTTTTTATTTTAAAATATGAAATCACTGCTTCTTACCAAATACAAATAAATATATATACAAATATGTATGTATATAGTGTCCCAGAAAATGTATACACACACTTTGCGTAATTATAAAAGCCCTGAGACCAGAGGTTTTTTCAGGCACTTTTGATCAATAGCCAGATTTAAATAAAACCAAAAACTATCAAAACAAAACAACAAAAGTGAGGGCTTTTAAGGGTTACAAAGATCACTACCGAAAGGAAAGAGTATAGGCCCAAAGAAACATCAGGAGGTTGAATCTAGAAAAGTGCTAGGAGATCCAGAGAAGATCAAATTCATACTTTTCTGTAGTTGCTTTGTGCTCATCTGGATTTAAACTACTCTCTTCTTTATGACTTTTGTCTTTTCTAGGTCTTTTGATGCCTTTAATAAAGATTTTTTTTCATCGACTTGAATTTGACTTAATACAATTCCTTCTTTTTTACCTCTGACTATATCTTCATTGAATATTAAACTGTAAAAGGAAACAAATGAGCCTCATAGCGAACCTGGTTTTGCCAGTAGACCTCTTTGGGAGTTCCTTCTGATCCTTTTTCCATCGTGGA